TGCTCGGCAGGGAGTCTGCTTCTCCCTCTGACTCTCCTCCCTCTCAGGCTCTCTGTCTCTCATTCTCTCTCTCTCAAATAAATAAATAAAATCTTTAAAAAAAAAAAAGACAATATGATTCTTAATCCCATTCTTGCCCAGGAAGCATTGTTTTTAAGTTCTTTCAACATGGAGGAAAATAAATTCCCATTTCTCCCACTCTTCCTGCGCCCTTTGCTATGAATCAGTGTTGAGATAAATTTCTAGGTCCAAGATGGACCACTTCTGTCCAAGGTGCCATGTAAGCAAACTGAAACTTGGATGACTTTTGTGTCCCTGCAAATGCTCTGTTTGATCAGAAACCCAGTGGTATTTCCAGTCAACTAATCTCCAAATGCCAAGCCAACTTGGGACCTTTTCACTCCAAATGAATCTGATTTCGTGGCTCTAGTCATTCAGATATTTTCTATTTTTCTCTTCCTCATTCTTTATTCTTTATATTATAAAGTCTTCCAGCCTTCTGCCCCATTTTGCACATCTCCAAATGGAGACTGCTCACTTCACTAAGTGTTTAATAAAATTTGTTTGTATTACCTACTTTTTGTTAATTGTTTTTTAACACCATTGAAGGGCAGCAGAATATATCACCCCAAAATACATCACCCACACTTTGGCATGTGGATTATTTTGAACTGAAGTCAATCAAGACCCAGCAGACTCAGAAAAAGTTTTTTGCTTCTCCATTAATTACCTAATAAAATTTAGAAAGGAGGCCTGTACCAGAAAGAGAGCCACTACCAGAGGTAATGTTTTCATCTGAGAGATTATCTGCATGGCAGGGCAAACACTGTATACAAAACATTTGCTCTTCTCATCCTCCTGTGACTCGCCTTCCTCCCCTTTGAAACCTCAGACCCCTACCCCTACCCCTTTCCTTAGCTCAGAATGGTATAAAGGCCTCAGTTGCTTGACTGGTTTTTCTCTCTTTTTTTTAAAGATTTTATTTATTTGACAGAGAGAGACACAGCAAGAGAGGGAACACAAGCAGGGAGAGTGGGAGAGGGAGAAGCAGGCTTCCTGTGAAGCAGGGAGCCCGATGCGGGGCTCGATCCCAGGACCCTGGGATCATTACCTGAACCGAAGGCAGATGCTTAACAACTGAGCCACCCAGGCACGCTGTCAATCTAATTATTATACCAGCCAAAGAACCTAGAAAGAAAGAAGGGACAATTTCTCCTCCCCTACACCAGCCACCTCTCTTTTAAGGGCTGATTCTTCATTTTTTATGTAATGAAAAACTTTACTTTGCATGAAAGCAACCAGCTCCTTGCAAGAGGTTGTGAGATGTGGATAGCGGTGGGAGAAGGGTGTCTTAGAAAACTCACCCGTTTTTGGGACGTTCACCTTACTCAGGAAATCTCCACCCTCCTAACCAATTGTGCCCTGTTTCCATGTTGCTCCTTCTAATGCTTTGTAAAACTTGGTCTTGCCCGAAACCCTTTGAGAAGACTACGCCACTTCTGAGTCACTGAGCTCCCCCAATCCATGGGTTACTTTCTTTTGAATAAAGGACTTCAAACAAAACTGTTTTAGCTTTGTCATTTGACAGTTTGCACCCCTCAGATCTGGGGCATCAGATCCCTTCCCAATATCTTCGCTCAAGATGTGTCCAGAAACATATCAAAAGCAACCATCCTCCGGCCCATGTTTTTCATTTCATTAAAAAGGTAAACTCTAAAAAGGGAGGCAGGCATTATGTCTATTTTATTTGCCAGACTGACCTGGCAGATATCCTCAATAAATATGAGTTGAATGAATCATGCGACTTTAAATATTTACACAAGATCGCCCCTAATTCCAAGTCTTTTATAATAGATTCTAAATGTGTCTTCAGGTTTAGTTCTCCATTGAAATGGGCTTCTGAACAGGCCCTATGGCCCTGGCTTCTCACTTGCAGCACAGAGTGTAAATGAAGCTGAGGCCATGGTTCTTGTCTTCAGGTCAGGCACACTTTGGAGTATCCATCCAGCCAAACCCAGTCTTCTGCCTGGCTTCTCTGTCCTTATGCCCTTTGGCTCCCAAGTCCTATGGCTCCACACCTGACTCTGGTTATTGGGAATTTGTGGTCAGATCTGCTGCTAATGCTCACAGAAGTCATTCATGAGGAACCAATTTCATGAGAGCAGAGAGCACACCTGAGCAAAATCAATGTAAGCTCAGCACAGTGCCAGGCACATAGGTAATGAGTTGGTTAATGAATCCATTTCTGGCTGCTACATCTGCTTTTTCTGGAAATATCTGCCGTTCCTGTGTTCTCACTCTTTTGGCCACCAGACTCTCCGTGTAGTCTTGATCTCCAAGCTCTGGAATGGGAGTTGTCATTCATATGATGGACAGTACATTTACATTTCAATAGAGATACTTCTAAGCCTCTTGCTTGGGGCTGGCTGATAAATTCACAATAATATTTCCAGGAAGGGATAGTTACACATTTGGGGTTTGAGGAGATTTCTCAGGAGAGGATGGAATTAGGAACTCAAATCTGAAGGAGCATAGAAGATAGTTATTCTGGAAGGAAGTCAGTGTTCTTTATTCTTCCTCAATATTTCTGGTCAATTCAGTGATTTTTTTTTTATTTTCTTTGAGGCGAGGCAGAAGGGATGCACTGCTGTTTAGATGACATTCTCATAGGCAAATAACCTTGGTGTGTTCGATGATGTGGGTGGAGAGTGGGGTTTCTCCATCTGTTAGGCAGATACAAAGATGCAGATTGTTGGAGGTGGGAAGGTGCTGGATCCCACCAGAAGACCCCACCATCCCAGACACCCTTCCTTGCCAAGGTCACCCAACCCAAACCTCTCGCTATAGAGAAACTATTACTAAAGGTTAAACCACATATACTTTGCTGAATGCTTAATGAACTGAACTTTACTTCCAATAATCCTATTACTTTCCTACTACTATGCAAACTGTTTTGCTCATTCTCATCTTTTCTGACCTGGCTGGGAGGGGAGATAAGAAGGTCTCACTGCTTCTGCCAGGTGTGAAACATGAAGGAATAAGCTTTAAAGCTTAGCATGTTAGTAGTTTGACTGGGGAGAGGGTGCAAACCATATGTAACACAGCTAGACCAAAGAAAAGTAACAGAAATCTCTCCTGCCTCCAGCTTACTGGTGGCTCAGAAGCAAGCTGGAGTTGTCTCCCCAGCAATCCCTCCCCTCTGAGGCACAGCCCAAGCCATGGACTTTTCTCCATCCAAATCCTCAGGATCCTACTGATTTTCTTGATCATCCCTACCTAGAACCTCTCTCCCTCTCTATTTATTCCATATTACTCCATTCAACTCCTAAAACATAATTCTCATTTATTCCATATATTCTTGTGTAACCCTAAGCAAAGGGAATGGGGATGGACTGGGAAAACTTTTAATATCAGAGAATACAAGAACACTGGGGCCCAAGACATTTTCAGCTAAACTTGAACCAGGAAAAAGAATGAGACAAGTAAGGTGAATCTCAGCTCTAAAGCTTCTTACCTTTTGAGGTATTTGCACAGAGGAATAAAGTGTATTTACTGGATTTTCTTCTGGAATAGTATTCTATTAAAAAGAGAAAAAAAATCATAGGGTCACCTAGACAAGCCCAGAGAGACACCCAGAATCCAGAAGGGAAAGCAGAGGTAGGAGGAAGGGCAAGAAGGAAGAGAGGTTCTGGACCAGGAATGGGGAAGAGGGAGGAGCTCTTGTTGGTGAGTGCAAGAAGCAATTGCCTGATTTTTAAACTGTGTTGTGTTTAAATAAATTTAAAAATGTATAAGATATAGAAGTCCCATGAGCTAGGAGCAGCCTAAGGTGATTGAAGGATAATTTGAAGTAATGTTGCTAATGTTGCAAGTAAACTTTTCTATTAGCTTAAAGGGCCATTGGAGCAAATATATGAGGATGACCGATGGGTCAAAACAATAAAACTACAATGACAGCAATAGCAAAAACAACTTCCAGGCTGGAGAAAAGTGTCCTGGGTCAGTGAAGTTTCTTCCTGAACACCCAGGACAGTCCTGTGGTCTCCTGGGAGTGTGTCTTGAGCAGAGAAGAAGGAGGAACATCTCCTCTCAGGAAAGTTGTAGGTAAACACAGGAAGATGCAACCTGAAACACCAAGGGCTGCACTGAAGCTGGCATTGAGGCCCCAAAGTGCTTTTATTTCTTCACTAAATGGGCCAATGGGGAAAAGTGCTCTATGGCCTCTAAGGAACTAGCCCAGGTGGGACTACAGTGATTCCTGGTGGCCTTTCAAAGTTGTCTATCTAGGTCATGTCTCCAAATTGTCTTATTATTTGAGTTTCTTTAAACTTTATTCTTATCATCTTTTTTTCAAAGAGTTTCCTTTGAATTGACAATGTGTTTGTTTACCTCAGCTTGGTGACCCACGCCTAGAAAGCCTTGAGTGTGGGCCTAGAGCCTTCTGAAAGTGTGGGCCCCTGAGCCTTCTGATGGAAAAGGCATCTCTATAGCCAGTGTTCTGACACCGTAACTCAAACATCAGGCCAAAGTCACACTTCCCTACCTGCTGTGCTTTGCAAAAGGAATTTGGCCTGTTGAGTGGCCCTTGTGAGCTGTGAAGGGAAGCGAGGATTCCACAGGTCACAGAGTGAGCATTACTGGCCGGGTCAGAACCAGGGGCTCAGAACAAGAGGTCACTGACTCCTGCATGAGAAAGTATTCATAAGGACTTAAGGAGACACAGGTGTGTTGAGTTTCAAGGGCTATACATCCTCATATTCCATGTTGCCCAAGTCCACAGAGAAATCTCAGCTAAAGTAAGGAGGGCCTTAGAGAGGAAGATCAGGTCCCAGGAAAGATGGGAAAGGACTCACATTAACGCAGGTGATTGTGTCATACACTGGAGTCTCTCCAGAAGAGGGGTAGTAGTTAAGAACTTCCTGATGAGTATCTATTCCCTTCTTCTCTTCAATGGACTCTGAAACCAAGGTGGGAGAGAATCAGAGCTGACCTTCCTTTGATTCACCACCCCCACCAGCCTACCCCCTGGAAGACCCACTTAGGGTGACCATGCTGGTTTCCCTACAACTGATCACCATGCTGGTTTCTGGGACATGGGACTTTCCGTGCTACACCCAGGGAAATCCCATAATGAACTGTTTACCCTGGTTTCTTCACTTCCCAATTTGTGGACCAAGGCAGCCAAAGGGGAAGCAGAGAAAGTCAGAGACACTTTCAGAGTGCTTTCAAGAGGGAGGAAAGATCTTAACACCTACAATTTATACACAACTGATGCTTAGGTCCCTCCCCAACACTCCACATGGACAGTATCGGGGAAGCTGAGAAGAAAAAATCAGTAGGAGGGTTTAGGGATGCAGAGCATGGGGTTTGGCATGGAGAGACAGAGGTAGCCTTCTCCAGGAAGAGTGTGTCTAGACTGAGGTGGGGAGTAAAGAGAGGTCTCTGGAGTTGATCCAATGAGGAGGACTGGGTATGGTTTGGGGTCTCTAACCAGGGATAGGGATTGGAAGGGATTGGAGTGTGTTGGTGTATGGGACCTCAGAGTTGGAAGCCATCACCTCCCAGGTCTGAGGAACAGAGTCAGCAGTGTAAGGCTTGTGTCAGTAGGAGGATCACACCAGTAAGTCGCTCTTTGGGGAAAGAGAGGGGTGAGCACTGGAGAGGGAACTAGGAGGACTTTGGACTTAGAAGATAAGTTATGGACTCAAGCACTCTCTTACTCCAGAATTAAGGAGTGCAAGATGATTGTGTTCTCCTTGAGTACACAGAATATGACCTCTTCATTTCTGTATCCTTAGTGCCTAGTACCAATTCCAGCACACAGTTCAACATATGTTTGTTGAAGAAATGAGGGAGCAAATGCATGAATGAGGCTGAAGGCAAAAATAGTGCATGCTCTACCTTTTCTTCTTTCTCTTCGCATAATTAGAATAACTGGCACCAGGGCAAAGGCACTGAACAGGAAGAGCACCCCCAGGACATACAGGACCATGGAGGATTCTGAGTCATCAGCAGCACCTTTAATGAGAGAATGGGTAGAGGCACAGGGAAGGGAGAAGAGTCAGCTAGGGAAAATGACCCAACTTGTGGAGCAACTGCCACCTTCCTCCCAGTCTGGTGACTTCCCAGGGGCCTCTAGTCTTCATGGGCTGTTCCCATGGGGACCAGGAGCTGAAGAAGGTATAGGTCCTGAGACAGAGGCTCCTGGAGAGAGAAGAGAGACCGTTACCTTCACAGAGCTTCCAGGCAAAGATGGGGTTTGAAGAATTGCTGCTGATGGGGTTCCTGGCCACACAGACGAAGGTCATGCCCTTTTTTCCCAGCCTCCAGGATATAGAGAGGATGGGGCCATTATGGGACTCATTGGCTGCCTGCCCCACGGACTCCCAACTGTAGGTCACATCCTCTCCTCCCTGGTCCATGAAGCATGTCAAATTAGTCACACAGGTGCCATTCTCATTGTTCTGCAGACCCATGGTAACTTTGGGCTTTGACAGGTGCTCTGCAAAAGAGAAACGGACAACCAAGAGTGGAAACTATGCCTTTTCTGAATTATTCTTGTAAAGCTTGGACCTGATTCTCTGGGGTGCTGCAGAGTGGAGAGGAAGAAGCTATTCATAGCAGAATTCTCATTCTTATCTGGGAAAGAGAACTGTCTAGGTCGGCTTTCCTAGTTATATAAAAACAACAGTAACAACAGAAATAATAATAATAATTCAACAAGAATGCAGCTGCCATTTTCGAAGCAAAGCTATATGGCCAGCCTTGTGCTAGATGCATTTTAGATGTGAGCTAATTTTATCTTTTTTAGAGGCTCCCTATTCCTCTGTCTTCAGGCTTCCTTGAAGAGACTTTCACTTTACTCTCCAGGAGAGAATAGTATGGGAATACTATTTTTGGTCCTCCTCTCTTTCTCGTGCTCATTGTTCTCCCTGAGAGGATGAGCAATTGGTTCATTGATGAGATGGAAAGAGTCTGACATCCAACATCACTTCTTTATTACCTCTCTCTATTTTGAGCTGTTAAGATTGCTGTCTAAATGTGGTTTGCCCTTCTTTCCCACCCCCAGCTAGTTTGACTGCATACCCTCTGTTCCTTTCAACTATGTCTATATGGAGGACACACCTGGATCAAGGTACATGGCCTAACTCTTAAGGGCAAACCTGGAGGCCCATCTCTGGTTGTCCCTGATCCTACAGCTCAGTGAGTAAGGCAGCTATTGTAATTGGTTGAGTAATTGTTTTGTAAGTTCATCTTCCCTGAATGGGCTCCAAGGTCTAGACTTTGGGGGAAAATATTTCTCCTATCTAGCTTCACCAGAAAAAATAAAGCTGATATTTTTATCTTCCTTTTGATTCCTGTGTGGATTTTTCAATTGGTTGGAATCTGTAGGGAAAGAGGTATAATTGATGTTTATACACAATAATCTTTCTAAGATAGATATCACCTTCCTCCCCATTAAAGGTATGGAAATGAAATTTCACGGAGCTTAAGTAACCTGGCTAAGGCCATGCAGTTAGTAGGTAGAGAAGCCAGCATTTGACTTGTGTGATCACTGCTTCCCCTATCACCCATCCTCTACACTACACTGCCTCTTGCAGAATCTTTGAGTAGGAAGGGGCCTGAGGGGTGAGCTACATTTACTTCATCCATGCAGGAGTTCCCTCTTCCACATTCTTGCCAAATGTTTATCCAACCTTTGCTTGAACATCTCCAATATCAGAGAGTTTACCACTTTATGAAGGCAGTCATCCACCTTTGGAACTAATTCTGCTCACCATAGACACGCAGCCCATACCGCTGGATGAAGGGGTCTTTGAAGGAAGAACTGTATATCACCACGCGGTAATCACCCGAGTCACTCTTATCCAGTTTGCTGAGCTTCAGGGAATAGTTTCCATGTAGGAATTCCAGCCTTTCCTTGTTATGACTCTGGGTCACTATGACATTGGCTTGTTTGTCTGGTGTTTTTGGCTCTATGGTGATGAGAGGGGTTGTGTTGAAGATCCAGACAAGGCTATCAATCTGAATTCCTGGGAGCTTCAGAGGGAAAGTCACAGACCCACCAAGGTCACCAACCAGTTCTTTCAGAGCTCCAGAGGTTGCTGGCCCTGCAGACACAGAGAACCATAAAATAAACCTAAGTCCCTGCCCTTGCCACCAATTACTCACCTGTTTTGGGTCCTGGGAAGGTCCCAAGAAACCCTCTGGGGCCAACCCAACCAGCCCCTGGGAAGCCCTTTGAAACCTCACTCACACAAAGGCATTGAGGTCAGAATGCTTTGCCTGAAAGGAGGGACTGCAGGTGAACCCACCCCTTCCCAGAGACCTCAGGCTGGAAAGACCATTCTCTGAGGTAGGTCATGAGGCCCAGCTCCATCTTGGACAAGTTCCTGTTAGGGGACAAGTGGGGAGGTTACTGTCCAATCCTCCCTTTGGACTCCCAGATTGCTCCTGGAGAGCTGACTTTGATGCAGATGCAGAAGCAGCAGCTTGCCTGGCATAGGGGCAGTTGTTCTCAAGCAGAGATCGGGACACTGGGAAGGGAGCTCTAAGTTCTTAATGATAACAATAGCTGGGAAGCTTGCGGGTGTTTCATCTTCTGTTTTATGATAGATTAGAGTGCGAAATCATCCCCGAGTGAGGTTCTCATTCACTTTAATTTCAGTGTCCTTGAGTGGAAAGGCCAAAGAGCACTGGACGCTCTACAGTATGCCTAGACTGACTCATGATGCTCACCCCCAACTACTAGGAGTTGTAGTAGGGGTTCACTTCCCCAAGAAGTTTTTGTGTCACCACAATCTTAGTTCACCTCAAAAAGTATGACTTATAAACAACCACCACTGGTTATGTGGTTCCAGGTGGAAAACAGTTAAGAACGGCTGTGGAAAAAGCTTCCAGAAGTGGCCCACGGAGCATTTCCAGTGAACAAGTGTGGGGAATGAGTCTTCTACCTGTTAAGATCTGAGGGACAGACTCGGGATAGCACAG